ATGTCGTGCAACATAAAAATTGGCAACTGCCACCATTTTATTCTACAGGGTCTTGGCTTTCAGAAAATATATAATGTTTAGGGGTTTTACATAAGTTTCAGGCCTAAAAATGTGGAGTGTAACATGTAAGCAAAAAAATTAAAAAGGGCCTTGGTCCTTAAGGGGTTAAGAGGGCCATACCTGCGTACATTGCTTTCATTCAGCCTATGGACTGTATAATGAAGTCTAATCCCTTTGTATTGCGGCAGCCGGCGCCTCTGGGTGTCAGAATACCTAAGCAAAGCAAACTGACTGCAGGGACTGTTTGACTAATAATTTTCCACCCGCCTCCCTCCACAAAAGTCGAGTGAAAAGATGACTTTTGTTGAGCCAGGTGATGCCATCAGGGCCTCCCACAGCTTGCGTGTAGGCGGAGCCAGCAGCAGGAGGTGAGTAAGATTCGAGTAGTGTATGGCTGGCTTTACAGAGGTCATATTAATAGACTGACAACCCTTACTTATAAAAACACGGAAGGACAAGTACAATCCATGAACACTGCCGACATAGAATTCAATGAAGTTACTCGGTGAAATGTCCCCTGAATACCTCATGTTTCCATATAACCTCATTCCCATTATGGCTCCCTGCCCTCTGTCACCCCAGCTCTGTATGCCAGTATGTCGTCCTGTACATTGGTCCACAGAAAGTGCTGGCTGGCACAGTAATGAGAAAGTCGGAAGCACCTGGGGGGTTTTCTTTGAAAAACAAACATCTTGATACTGCAGACCGCAGCATGGACGGGGGAATCTCCCCTGCCAGGCTATTGTATTCTGACAGCCGGCGCCTACAGCTGTTAGAATATGCAAACAATGGCTACAGGTAATTGGCTGCCGTCATTGTTCAGCCAACAATTTTTGGCCGAGTTCCTTCAATGTAAGCTGATCGAATAATTGACTTTTGTTGATTTGATACCAGCAGGACCCCCCACGGCTCGGAAAGTTTGAGAAGTGTTTGGCCAGCATAAGGCTGCTGGCAGGATCACCAGGTAACTTTTACATGATGAAAGAGAAGGAGCAAAAAAGGGCAGACATGGCAGATGGCAGAATCCAGAACCAAGTTCCAACCCACTGATTTAGAGAACAACGCCGGGCAGAACTTTTCTTAACCCTTGCAGTGGGTTACCCCGCACACTGCGAAGGTTAAGTGCTCATTTTTGTCTACGTGCAAAAACAACAAAGTTATGCTCACCCAATCCTCAGAGCCGGCCAACAGCTGCCACAGCGCTCCCTCCAGCCTCCCTCCTCCTCCACTGCAGCAATGGAATGTCCCTCGGCGTCCTCACATCCTGTACACTGTATTGGAAGTGATTGATCACGGAACCTTAGACCGTTGGAGCAGTGGGAGTGCCAGGGTAGCCTCACTGCAAGGGCCAAGAAAGGTTTTGCCCGGAGTTCTTCTTTAACAGTTTCTCAAAAGAAAGCTCAAGTTAAAAATGTTCAATAAAGGTTATGAAATCTGTACAGTGATAATAACATCAAAATGTTTTACGCCATTTCAAATGCTGATGACATCACTTCCAATGGATGCTGCTTCTTGATATCTAAAGGTTTTAGTTTATGGACAATTCAGCTAGTTCCCTGAGCTCTGGTCCTGACTTCCTGTTTTAGGGTGGCTCCTTTCCCTTGCAGGATCCTAGGCAGTCACCCTTGTGTTTGCTAGTAAGCTGTGTGTGTCTCCAGAAACACACAAAGTCCAAAAACGTCACCAGCTCATCATTGAAATGTGGAGCAAATCCATTTAATGACACGTGTAGGTCATTCAAATACAAACATTTTCGGGGCCTCACAGGGTCCCCTTCATCAGGCTCTGAATGACGATGAAGGGGTGCAGGGGACCCTGTGAGGCCCCGAAAATGTTTGTATTTGAATGACATACACGTGTCATTAAATGGATTTGCTCCACATTTCAATGGTGTGCTGGTGACGTTTTTGGACTTTGTGATATTCACGGTGCCATCCTTGGTCACTTCAAGCACCCGCCTGGTTTACAGGTCTATTTTCTCTCGGTAAGAAGTGCAACAGGACATATCTGTATGTATCCAGAAACACACAGACACAGCAAGGTAAGATGCTCCCCTCTCCTCCTGCCTCCCGTCTTGATGCTAGTAGATGGAGAGCAGCCGCAGACTCTGCTGTCTATTGTGATCCTGTACTGGACAGGAAGTTCAGGGAAACAGAGCCGAGAGACTTGGAGCTAGCTGTTCTGAAACATAAACCTGCACATCGGTGTGGGTCCGGGTGTGTGTAATTGCGTGTAGCCTCATTCTCCCATAGGGATGGTCAGGCTGCTACATGCAATTACATGCAGCACCTGTCCCTCCTGGGTTCAGGTCGCTGTACAGACGTGGGTGCCTGTGAGAATGACCCCTTACTGTGACACAAACAAGAATTAAGACACAAAAAGACCAGCACTGACCAATAAAGTGTTGTTTTTATAGAATCCACAATAACCCTCTGGAGATCAGATAAGAAAACCTGTGCTGAACCAAACTGGACCAATGTAAGTATCCATAAAAGATTATTTGTGGGGGGCGTGGCCGGGATGTGAGGCAGAGAGGACGTGTCTGAGGGAGCTCCGCCGTTCTACTGACCTGTATCCTGAGGAAATCCTGGCGAACCGGCTCCTGACTTACCTACCCGATCTCCGGTGGATGCCCGGTGCGGGGGGATATGCCCTCTAGGTCCGGTAAGCGCGGAAACACTCCGAAAAAGGGTTGGAGACGATCCCTTCGTTCTAGTTCTGCAGGAGTTTCATGCATACTATAAAGAGCTTTAGTCACACATTCCTGAGTATGACCTGGGTGCCTTGTTTCACGGCTGTGAGAGCGAATGTTGTAAAAATGTGTTCTTATACAAAACTTTAATAAAAAGAATTTATAAAAAAAAAAAAAAGATTGTTTGTGGAGTTCAGATTTAGGAATTGAGCCAAGTGCCATGATGGTGCACCTCCATGTGCATGCCAAAGAAGCTGGGTGTAGGAGAACCATTGGAGAAGATAACAGCAGGGTAATGGAGGGCACATGGCTGTCAGAAGTGACATGAAGTGTATGTATGTATGTATCATGAGCCATAAGCTGAACCGTAACGTGGAAAGCCACCATTCCTGTTTAGGGCGCTGACAACAAACAGAACTACCAGAGGGTGTCATTAAAGTGGAAGTGTACATGGCTGAGCGTAGGCCGCTGTTGTCATAATCCTCACATACATGCACATTATGGAAGCTTTATCTGTCCTTCTACACAGCTGACAGTTACATAGTCAGTCAGGTTGAAAGAAGACACAAGTCCATCGAGTCCAACCTATAGAGAGGTTGCCCCTCGCCCCTCCTTCTTCCGGGTTCAGGAAATACATCATCCCGACACCCGGCTCTATCTGCCTTGAATGGGTCAGGAGTGTACAATGCGCTGTGCATGGGCTGCAGGCAATATACACTAAAAAAAAAACCAAAAACTCTGACATGAGCAAGAGGAGAGAGACATTCCGGGCCCGCTCACACCCAAGCATAACATTGATACCGCGCACTCAGCACATACACTATTGCACAACGCACCTAGCGTGCTTTACCGTGTACTAGACTTGTTGACATTCATCAGCACCGCAATGCCCCTCTCAGCAGCTGTGCGCTGCAACACACTGCACCACAATACTTTTTTTTCCATGCACGGTATTGCAGGACTGCATGTTGCATCACACAGCAGCTGAAGGGTGCATTGGGGTGACATTCAAATGAATGGCAACGCAACACACATACAGCACGGCTAGGTGTGTTGTGTGATAGCGTGTGTTTATCAGACAATAGTACTACACTTAGGTGTGAACAGCCCTCAGAGTCTCTTCTTCCAAAAACACAAACAACTAGATATTGTTTATTCATTTATTGTTGATGGGCACCTCACACCTCACCAGTGCAATACATTGTGTTTTGTTAACGCATGTGTAACTGCAACTCACGTTATATGCACATGTGTTGCAGCACTACACAACACTCTGTTACGCACCACTACACTAAAAATGATGCAGGTCTATTTGGATTGTGGACGCACAGAATTCTATTTTATATAAACGCAAATACACAAAGAAAAGCACCAATGTGCACGTTAGCGCAACATTCAAAAACAAGTGCTTTGCATGTTGGTGCGCTGTGGTGCCATCCGTTCTTAGCGCCACCACAACGGACATGCACTGCAGGGTACCACATTGTATTACCATGTGCTGTGGTGCACTCTGTAACAAAAACAAGTACGTGTATGCAATTTGGTGTGGTAGGCAGCCACTAAATGGGCTGCCTTAATGAAACGCACGCCAGCATGTGTAAGAATGTTCATCAACTCACATGCATGACCACAATGCAATAGCGTGAACCTATCTACAGCACAGTCCTCCCCTGCGCTCCCCCCAGCACAGTCCTCCCCTGCGCTCGGCCAGTCAACCAGCAGAGTCCTCCCCTGCGCCCACCCAGCACAGTCCTCCCCTTCGCTCGCCCAGTCACCCAGCACAGTCCTCCCCTGCACAGTCATCTCGCCCCCGGGCACAGTCCTCTCTCTACCCCAGGCAAGTCCTCCCCTGCGCTCGCCCAGTCAACCAGCACAGTCCTCCCCTGCACAGTCATCTCGCCCCCGGGCACAGTCCTCCCCTGCGCTCGCCCAGTCACCCAGCACAGTCCTCTCTCCCCGGGGCACAGTCCTTTCTCCCCGGGGCACAGTCCTCCCCTGCGCTCGCCCAGTCAACCAGCACAGTCCTCTCTCCCCGGGGCACCGTCCTCCCCTGCGCTCGCCCAGTCAACCAGCACAGTCCTCTCTCCCCGGGGCACAGTCCTCCCCTGAGCTCGCCCAGTCAACCAGCACAGTCCTCTCTCCCCGGGGCACAGTCCTCTCTCCCCCGGGCACAGTCCTCTCTCCCCCGGGCACAGTCCTCTCTCCCCCGGGCACAGTCCTCCCTCCCCCGGGCACAGTCCTCCCCTGCACTCACCGATTCATCTAGCGCCTGCTGGCTCTGCACCCCCAAGGGTCCGTGCACATACGGGGTGCCCTTAAAGGCAAAGTCCTCCAGCTCGGCCAGCAGCGACTCCTTCTCCGTTCCCTCTGCCCGCACGATCTGCTTCAGACGGAACTGCACCTGGGCGAAATGTGAGGTGAGGGCGAGCAGAGACGAGTTGAGCAGCTCCTGTTCGTCCTCCAGCCTGCGCAGCTTGTCCACCAGCTCTACAGACATGGCACCGCCGTGCAGCCGGTTCGATCCCTCCTCACCTTCCGACTTCATACCAGCCCAGGGCACCGCACTCTGCTCGTCCGCTTCTTCCGCCACCGCCCCGACCGGAGCCCAGCGCTCCCGGGTAAAGGGCTCGCCATCGGACATGGACATTTCGTCAGCAGACATCGCCACCTGTCACTATGATCGCTCTATGCTGCCATATTGAAAAGAAAGGTATGGGGCTGCCGACGTCATCTGTAGCGCAGATCGGTGACACATCCCCGTTGTCCTGGAGACCGTGTGTACTTCCTGGAGGTGGAGCTTTCTTCGTGACGTCACGTGTACCTCCACTGTTGTATACTGTGCAGGGAAGAGAGCCGTTTCCAGCCCTTCACACATGAGATAACTAGTTCCAGGATTTAAAGGTTCACCCCTTCCTCACCAAAAAAACCCACAAAATTACTCATCCACTCCCTTGTTATATCTCATCTTGACTATTACAACTCCCTCCTCATTGGCCTTCCACTACACAGGCTATCCCCCTGCAGTCTCATGAATGCTGCTGCCAGACTCATTCACCTGACCAACCGTTCACCGTCCTGATTCTTTGCCTAGGCAAGTATGACATAAGGTCGGCCATCTGCTGCCTCCTGTGATGTGTAACCTTGAGATCCCAAGAGGCAGTGTTTCAGCACAGGACCATGCGTATGCGCAGACTTGGCACAAGTTTCTTGGCAGAGGCTCACCATACAAGTCACAATCCTAATGTACAAATTCTTTACATCTACCAACAAATATGTTGTACAAGAGTCTGTCTGACTGGATGTAAATGACTTGTCCTCCCCTGTGCTCCTGTGCTGGGCGAACACATTCTCACCAAATTGTATCTATGTAATATCCGTGTTGTCACCCTAGAACAGGAAGTTTGGTAGGACTACAAAACACCTCCCACTCTCTTCTCCTCTTCTTCATAACATTGGAGAGGGGTATTCTGTATTCTGTTTCTGGATTTGGGTGACCCATCTTTTCAGCAGGCAGGCCCCCCGATTTTTGTGGCAAGCAGCCAAGTCCAAGGCATCGGGCTTTAAAGCATACAGTATCTAAACACAAAATGTAATATATTGTAGCTTACCAATTCATAGCCACTTGAAGACCGAGGTGTTCAACACCCTTCCTGGCCAGGCCATTTTTCAGTATTCAGCGCTGCGGTACTTTGCATTTATTCAGTCATACAACGCTGTGCCCAATTTAATTTTATATAATTTTTGGGGACAGACAGAGCTTTCTTTTGGTGGTAATCACCACCGCAGTTTTCTAATTTTTTAATATATAAAGAAGAAAATACAGAAAAAAACCCAAATTTGTATTATAATGTGTTTTGGGGCACTAAAATTAAAGGTTCTAAACCCTCCGGTGTTTTTGCATATATATGAGGCTAGCAAGCAGTAGATATATGCAAAACGTTTTTTTTTAAAAAGCGGTTTAAACTTACCCGTCTTCGCCGCGTGCTCCCGTCCGAGAATCCAAAACTGTTCGGGCGGCTGTTTCGCAGCTGCCACCATTCTATTCTACAGGGTATTGGCTTTCATGAGATATATAATATTTTGTGGGTTTGAAGTCATTTTCAGACCACAAATGTGGATTATATCGTGTGTGCAAAAAATGGGAAAAAGGCCTCGGCAGCGAAAGGGTTAAATGTGGTGGCTGCATTAGGTTTTTTTTTTTAGGCTTTTTTATCCTTTCTTTTCACCTGGTGATCTGACCACTAACACACTTCTTGTCTTAGGGGCGCTCCACTCTATGAAGGGGCAATGGAGCCACCCTTGGACAGCAGCATTGTCACCCTGTGGAGAGGGTGGTGTTATATATACTAGAAGATTTATATGGACTTGACTAACAAATCAAAGCAACTCCAGATAACACTTTTTAAACAGTTACATCAACATTTTTGTTTTTATTTCAGGATAAAGATTTTTAGAGCTGCGACAACTATTCGATTTAGCCGATGTAAATCGACGATGGAAAACGTTGTCAACGTTTTTCCATCGCCGATTAGTCGGGTATCAATTAGACAGCCTGTTCGCGGCTCCAGAGTCACACACAAGCCTTGCGCCACGCCCGCCGCACACGCCGCGTAAGACACGCCCACCGCACAAGCCGCGCTCGCCGAGGACTCTGCTCCTCTCCTCCCTGTGAGCTTCCGGACTTGCCGCAGCCCGCCAACAATCAAGGGCCCACCGCCATTCGAAGTAAGTCATAGTGTTAAAACAATGCTATGCGGCCTGACTCTTGGAAGCAATGCTCAGGTTGGTTGCCTTGATGTCTTTGGGTATCACAGTATGCTGATTATAGAGGTATTAGATCCCCTTGCAACAACACAGTTTTCTACTGTTCTTCTTGGGCTGTGAAGGAGGGCGGAGACCCCGAAAGCTTTTCTGGAAATGTTACTGTTAGTGTAAATGAAAAAAAAAAGTATCATAGACACTACTCGACTGTGTGATAGTATTCTGATACATCCCAATGGCCTTGGATGTTAATAATGAAAAACCGATCTTACAGATGATTGTAAGCAGTTATCAATTGTGCTCATAGCATCTCCCACCCACACAGGTAGGCCTGCTATGCCCATTATGAGGGGCTCCCAGCCTCCCACCATCCCCGTGCTGAGTTCCCCAGTCTGTACACCTGCTGTGCCCATTATGAGGGGCTCCCACCATCCCTGTGCTGAGTTCCCAGGTCTGTAGGCCTGCTGTGATCCCGGGTCTGTACACTTGCTGTGCCCATTATGAGGGGCTCCCACCATCCCTGAGCTGAGTTCCCCGGTCTGTACACCTTCTGTGCCCATTATGAGTGGTTCCCACCATCCCTGTGCTGAGTTCCTGGGTCTGTACACATGCTGTGCCCATTATGAGGGGTTCCCGCCATCCCTGTGCTGAGTTCCCGGGTTTGTACACCTGCTGCGCCCATTATGAGCGGTTCCTACCATCCCTGCTGGATTTTACTTTTATGTTATATTATGGAAATGTGCCCTGTGGTCGGCAGGAGCACCTGAAAATGGCAGGTATACCATCCAGCACCATCACTGAAGACCATGGATCACCTTCAGGTAAACATCACATTATATATTATATAATATATAACTGGTCGGTGGTGTTCTGCATTGTGCCGCTGTATTATAGAGCGGCACACTGCAGAACACCAGCAGCTATAGAGGAACAACAAATCCCAGCAATAATACATTAAACAGCCTGTATAATGTATTATTGCTGGGATTTGTTGTTTTTCTATAACTGGTCAGTGGTATTCTGCATTGCGCCGTATAATCATTATACGAGTGTAAAGTAAATGTCACCAGCACACCAAAAGTATTTCTGCAAAAGTCAGTTTATTGACACATTCCCATTCAGTACAAGTGCTTTTGGGGCCTCAAAGGTACCCCTTCATCAGACTCAGAATGACGGCCATTCTGAGCCTGATGAAAGGGGTACCCTTGAGGCCCCGAAAGTACAAGTACTGAATGGCAATGTGTCAATAAACTGACTTTTGATGAAATACTTTTGGTGTGCTGGTGACAATTACTTTACACTCTTGTACTATACACGGTGCCGTCCGTGGTCGCTACAAGCACCCACCTGCTGTTGCAGGGCTTCCATCGTTCTGGTAAGGAGTGCAGCTGGTTTTCTATTTTATTTTTGTATAATCATTATACAGCGCAATGCAGAATACCACCAGCCATAGAGGACTACAAATCCCAGCAATAATAAATTATACAGCGCAATGCAGAATAACGCCAGCTACAGAGGGCTACAAATCCCAGCAATAGTACATTATAGTATAATGTACTATTGCTGCGATTTGTTGTATTCCTCTATAGCTGCTGGTATTCTGCATTGCACCGCTGTATAATGTACTATATTGCACACCACACTTTTTTTTACTTCCACCACTCCAAGCTTGCTCCCGTGATGGACTACAATCTCAAGACAAACTAGTAGTCCATCACTGGAGCCTTTTTTTTTTTTAATCCGATTAATCGAACGTAATAATCGGCTAACTAATAGATTTTGAAAATAATCGTTAGCTGCAGCCCTAAAGAGTTTGCATTAATATTAATTAATAAAAGCCGACCATTGTAAGCACCCCTTTCAGTGTTATAAGGTTTGACTCAACCCTCTATCTGACACTTTTACTGGACAGCTTGGCCTGGTAAAAGGAAGTTGAAAGACAACAAACTTACTGACCAAGTGTAAATAAAGGGAAAAAGAAAACTAATGCAACCAGCACATTAAGGTTGGTAAACTGCAATATAGTACATTTCTTCTTTTCGGTTTATATATGCTTTAATAGGGATTTTGCTGATTTGGTTGAAAATATATGTACAGCGCCTTATGGTGCCCATACACTGCACGATTATCGTACGATAATCGTATGCGATCGTTTTTTCGTACGATAATTGAGCAGTGTGAACGGAGACGTGCGACCGTTTCTACTGTACGGTCGCACGTCTTCTGTCGAACCAGCATGTTCGAAAACCAGCCGGGAATCGTACGATTCTCGGCTGGTTAGAACGGTGCTCGGAAGATAAATGCTGAACGGGCCGGTGTGCGCACGCGCACACTGCCCGTTCAGCATTGCGGTCATCGGAAGCCCGCCCCTCAGGGGGGCGGGCTTGCGATGATCGAGAGTGCGATCTGCCTGTCCAAGATAGGCAGATCGTACGTTTTTTTAATCCCTTTACAACCATCGCAAGACTAAAGTCTTGCGATGGTTGTAGAGTGTATGGCCACCTTTACGCACAGCTACCTTTTGGACTTGCACATGTCCAGCTGCAACAGAAGGGTTATGTACTATGAATGTCTCACATACATCCAGATACTGGCAAAAGTGTGTTCATAAATGTCCCCCGTTGAGTCTGAATGTTTGCTCGTTTTCAATCAATCTCAGTTAACTGGCTGCAAAGGGAAAACTAATAAAAACATTATTTTCCTTTCTTTCAGAACTATGTACCCAGTGCGTCATCATACAGGTTATAGTGTTATTTGTAACATTTGTATACCCCGGTGCAGTGCACATTTCTGGGTAATATATTTTCCCCACGTTATTGAAGATAATGCTGGTTACAGTGGCCGAGCCGTCTTTTATTTCTTCTGTTTTCTGATGGTGGTGTAAAGAGAGTCCACTTAACACCCGTCTATCACTAAACATCCACCCTTATTTACTC